ATTTTAAGCAATTGTTGGGGTTAATTCTGCCTTTGGTTTGGATCACATGACAGCGGGTTAAAATCGTTACTTTTTTGAGTTTCACTTTTCTTAAAATGAAGTTACTAAAACAGATAAACCTTTGAAAGTAATCAAGTTGTTTGTTTCCTCTCTAGATGTTGGTAAATAAGGAAGATTACTGAAGTTATTCTGATAATGTCAGCACCCCCCCACTTTGCTGAAGCCTTTATTATCATGGTTTTTTTTTACCAGGTTTTGCTTCATTCTGAACAAGTTGTATTACAAACGATGCCAAACACTTTGTTTTCCTTTTCCCGCCATGTGTCAGGGAATCGGTCCCTCTACCTTTGCTGTGTCATAACTTATTACCATTGATCTGGACGGCCCGCCTGTCGAGCCCCTGTGGGTCGGGGGCATTTTAAGGCCCTGGCTCTCAGATCCATAAGAACCACAGAATGTGTAGAAAGCCTTGTAGTATTGCATTGTATGTAATGTATATAAAAAAATAAAGATTGTATTTTGTTCAAGTTTTTTCTCGCTTGTTTTCAGGGACCCTTTTTCCTCCCCTGCCCCCTGGTGGCTGTGTGGATGTATTACAGAGAGATGCCACAAGTAAAATGACAAAAAAAAAAACATTTTATTTGCAAATCTGAAAAGATACAAGAAGGACGACGGCGAACAGCCGTCCACATTTGACATTTTCCAGTGTGTCAGACCCCTGTCGTCTGCCTGCAACAGCAAACCAAACATAAATACAGCCGATAAAAGGTGAAAGTGGCAGAGCCGGAAAAAAAAGTGAAACTTTACACACAAACATTGGTGCCTTTGATGGAAGAGACAGATTTTCTTTTATATAATAAAGCTAAATATAAAGCTCTTTATGGAAGTTAAAGAAAAGACGGGATTCTGTGAATTTTTTATTTTTATATGATCGTCACCAAACTAGTTTGGATCTTCTATCAGCAACAACTTGCACTTCTTTTACAAAAAGAAAACATTTTACATCTATGTACGGGTTTGCTTAAAGCAGCTTTTTAGAGGCAAATGTTTTTTATTGATTCTCTGGAAAAGATAGAAGTTAATTTGTTCGCAGCAACTGATGACTCGCTACCGTCTCCAAGTCTAAAGACATTAAAGGATTTTTTGTTTTATAAATTTTGGGTAAATATGGTTATATTTCTACCAAAATCAATAGTTTAATACATATTAGTATTGATTCAAAATACGCTTCAATTGATGTTTGATTTAAAACCAGAAAAAAATAACAAGCAAACATCAATATTATTGTAACTCAGACCAGCAGCCACTAGGGGGCAGCACACCACCACCAAACAGACGATTCGGTTTTTCTGCTCCTGCTACAGCAGATCAAACCGATATCTTGTGAGTTTATCGAAGGCCAAAAAGCGCATTGTTGTTCTAATGTATCGCGATAAATCGTGAATTTGCTTAATCAAAGTCTTGCCAATCACACCCCTAGTTAATAAAATCTCCCAAACCTCCCTAACCACTAACCCTTAACGACCAATTCTCATCGCAGTAAAGTCAAACTCTTAGCTGTGGAAGGCGCCTTGATTAAAGGTGGGGGGTATAAACGAAAATGGGACGGCTTCAACCCTCCGACGGAAATGGAAAGCAGCTGTTGCTATGGCAACACAGTGACGCTTCATGTGCGTGGCTGTAGCTCTGTGGCCAAGGGTGACTTAAAATACAACATTTGCCGCTTTCTTAAAACAAATATATACGGTCTAAAAAGTTTTGGATTTCATTGCGTTTTTTTTTTTCGTAAACTAACTTACGAAACTATTTATTTAGATGCAGGCGTTTCCTCCGCCATCAAGCCGCTGTTACACCCGCTGCCAAATATTTAAGGTCTGATCAGCCCACTCACCCTACCCACTACAGGATTTGGGACAGCCCTTAATGTTTGTTTTCCCGGTGTTTTATTGTCATTCCACTGCCACACGTACAGAATCCACTCTCTGTATTTTACCCCTCCCCTTGGGGAGCAGTGTGTGGTTAAGGGTCTTGCTCAGGGACCCAGAGTGGCAGTCTGTGGGAGTGGGGCTTGAACTTAGAACCTTAGGATTCCAAGCTCTATGCTCTAACCACTAGGCCGCCGCTCCCCTAATGTAGAACTGCGTTGTAAAAAGAAGAAGAAGACAGGAAGTAGTGGCACGATGATGGCGCGCCATATTTGGATTCATGAGCTAACGAAGTTCGGAAGCTAATTTAGAGCTAATTGGATGCCTTCGTGCTAACGGTAGCCGTTTCTGCTACAGAGAAACACATTCAACAAATATTTTGTTTTTGTTCAACCTGGAATATTCGTAATATTTCTGTACCAAGCTGTGAGGAAGAAAGGAACCAAAAGTTCGGCTGGAACTGGTTCTGATTGTCTCCTGAAAATCACACATTTTGGAAATGAATGATCCGAATCCTTTGACCAAACGTAAAGAAATCGGATATTCCATAAAACAACCGTTAGCTGAGCCCGTTGCTGCAGGACGGGCCGCCTCAGAGAGAACCGTAGAACCTCCTCAGCTTCTCTCTGTCAATCAGCAGAATCCTGAAGGTCATCTAAGCTAGAAAGTCAGAACCTGCTGAAGACTAGAGATGGACTCGTTCTTCTGACTCCGGTCAAACGGGAAGACGTTTCCTGGTTCCTCCATCACTCGTAGAAACAAGAAGCACGGCCATTTTATTTCATCATCTTGTTTT